CTATCCCCCAACCCTGGAATTTGTCAATTATCATGAATTTGTGTTCTCTGGTTACCAACTCCCCTTCCATTAAAAACTGGAAAGGTTTCTTGCTAACTACTCTATCATGTTCCATCTTAACTGCTAAAGCATGTCTTAATCTTTTCTGTTTCAGGGAGAATAATCCTATACCTTGACCTTTCTTTGCAATTGATACCATTGTTTTGTGCGCTATACTCCAGCTGAGGTTTAACTCGTGATTTATAAAATTGTATTTTTAGCTTTCTTGTGTTTGCACTCACTGCCTCTGTTTATAAAGTCCAGGATACCAAATGCTTATTAAAAGGCCTGATCTAAGTTTGCAGACCCCCATGTCCCCATTCCAGCACACTTTTTAAAATCATGCCATTTAACGTACATTGCCACCTCTTTCCCTTCCAAAAGACATCATTTAACATTTGGCTACGTTAAATTTCACCTGCTCATTTTGCCAGTCTAGGTCCTCCTAAATTGCTTTTCAAAAATATTTTCCTCTGAGCTTACAACAATTCCAAACTTTGTCATCTGCAAATGTTGAAATTATGTATCTTGTTGATGTAATTGATATCTATTAAAGTGGTGAACTTAATACCAAGCCCCAGAGACATCACTGTATACTTCTCTCCAGTCGGAAATATGACCATTCAGCATTTTTCTGATCTGTCTGTCCTAGGCTCTTTTGAATTCATGCTATCCTTATGCTTCCATTTTGCTTAGTAGTCCACTATGTGGTACTTTATCAAATGCCCACTGCAACTCAATAAATAGATATGTAAAATTAAGAAATGTAAAACAAAAAATCTCCATGTTATCTGCCTGTGCAATTTTCTAAATAGTTGTTTCTAATTCTTTCTGTTGATGTCGAATGTAGATCTGAATTCTAGCCAATGCTAAATAATACCAATACTGATAATTTTCATGTAAGGCTAGATGTTGCCCACAAGATCAGGTGTACACTAGAATCTTATATAGAGTCACAGATAAGGTCATCAAATTTTAAATTAGTGATTTGTATCAGTGCATGATCTAAGGGTGAAGCTTGTGTTGGAACAGTGCTGAGGAAAAATCAACTTATATTTAAAAGGGGAATAGTTAATAAAAGCTAAATATTTATCATCTGTTCATAAATATAAACTTAGCTGGTAAAAAAGACCACAACCAGTGAAAGAGAGGCAGCAATAATTGCAAGATTATAAGCTCATTATGTTAAAGCGGGTATTCGCAGTGAAAGTGCAGTTGAGTTTTTAATTCTTCAAATCTAGTGGGACTTTTGTACACCCAACAGATTTTTTTTGTTAATCTTAAGGAAAGAATGAATTAAAGTGGGTTTCCAACAGACCAACCAGATCTGAGGTTCCCAAGACATACTTTAATAATCATTCCTCCTAGTTCAGAAACGCCTGACACACTTTTCAAACCGTTCTATTTCCTATAACTGCAGATCCCTCAATTCTTCTCCCCACGACCCAGTCCAACAATTTTGTTCTAATCACTAACACTCTCTTGTCTCATCCTCCTTAATTTAAGCCTAAAACCTTGTCATCGCCTCCACAGTTCAAGAAAGCGTACTTTTTCTCTTAACCTGGTTAATGCTGTGACCTTCCTTTATTTCCTTCCTTTCTAAATGTTGTGCCTGGATTCCCCTGTCTCCATGGAATACTGCTCCCCACTGCTTATGTTTTCTGTTGTGATGGCATCCATTCATGCTGCCACACAGGTCAGAAATTTCTGATACTGCAAGAATTCCTACTAACTGCACAGCAACATGCAACCACTCAAAATGTCAGGAGATAGGAGATTTGGGAGGTTGCCTGATGAAATGGAAAAGAACCTGGATTGTGTGGAAAATTCTCTTCAAAGTGCTTACTGTCTACATCTAATACATACAGTGAACTTGGATGAAGTTGTCCTTCAAATGTCTTAATCTTCTATGGCATGCGTTCAGTGATTAATCTTTCAGTCTCAGGAGAATAGTTGTGGAAGGGAGATACTTCCATGCAAAATGCAGTGTTACTTGTAGCTTTATTTTCTTTAATAATTTTTTTGCAATTTCAATTAACAGTTTTGTGTAATATTATTTTTATTTATATATGACATTGTTACCCCCAATCTCTGCAATGTGTAATTGTTATCTGCTTGATTTGATGACATTTTGTGTTCTTATGTTTTAATTAAGTCACCTGTGGTACTACTAGCCACTGGTGATATATTTTGTCTTGAATTTTACAGTTTGCTCAATTATTTTCAAGTATGAAACGCAGCCACACCATATGCTTTTAATCTGTTTGAAAAGCCTTTTTTGACTCCCTAAAACTGCTGCCAGTTCAGATTTTTGTAAATTATTGTGGGTCTATAATTGTACACAAACTGAAAAGGAATCCAACAGAACTGAAATCAGATTTATTAGTTAAGATTTGCAAGGCCATCCAAAAGTTATTGTATCAGAACGTCCTGCACATGAAGTGCCTGTGCAATAGTTTGTTGAACAAAGGACAGACGTGTTTGTTAGGTGTGAGCTTTTGTTGACTTTCTCCTTTAGCCTATTTTGTGTTTATCCTTCAAATTCTGTTCTGATGCTGCACACCACACCATTCCTGATCAAAGACTGTCACCAAGTTCTCTCCTAATGCTTCCTTAGAACTACTCTGTAGGAGGTATAGTAAAGCAGCCTGAGGTGAACCTGGAGATTTATTTAATTTCCTAAGTAAAAATTTCCCAGCTTCTTTCCCTTCTTTCCTGGAGAGGTCCTTTTTATCTTACACACTGTCCTTTCCTGGCATGTGAGCCCAGGCAGCAAGCATTGATAGTCAAGCCCAATCTTCTGCTCACAAATGTCTATATGACAGCACTTTCCAACAGCATCACTAAACAGCACATGAGCAAGAAATGATTTCTTTATTTCTTCCTTAGTACTGGAATGCCAAGTCTGCTTCAACTGAGCCATAACCAATTCTAAGAATAGAACCTGGGACAGTTCTGAGCTGTATCATTTATTTTTAGGCTGTCTATTGATTAAATCATCAGGATTGTCATTTCTTTGTAAGAAGTGGTTAGTCTTCATTAAGCTTCAGGAAATCACAGCTCAGATCAGGAATATATAGACTATAGACTCCTTTTCTATCCTTGTTTGCAGATAATTAGGTCAATGATTTATTTAACAAATAAGAGATCATTTTAATTGCTGCGGCATGACTGCCATTATATTCCCAATGTATAAACCCAGGAGAATGAAATGTGTTACAAATGTGTGAAAATGCTGCAAGTGACTGATCTGCCTTGAATAAAAGATTCAGTATTTATGATTTTAGAAAATAATTGTAAATTTAGTAAAAAGTATTTTATAGAAGTTGAAGTAGGTTGAAGAAAGTCCTGATAAACCACAAAAGATTCAATAAGTTAATTGTTTATTCACTTTAAACATTAATTATCTTTTAATGTTTGATTTTAAAGCATTTTGGAACCATAGATATACCACATTTACAAAGTTTTCTTGTTTTATAATTGCACCATTGATTGAACCCACTTGTTTCATTCACTTCCTGAGTGAGGCATTAACTATTGGATGTTTTATGTATTGATACCAGTTCTGAGTGTTGTCATGAAGATAAACTGTGTTTCTATATGTGGAATTTTAATACAAAATTTCTTTAATATAAATGAAGATTATTGATTTTAGTATTTCAATTTTTTTTGTTATTTTATTGAAAGTTATAATTTATGCGCAGGGCAAGGTAGATAATGGAAAGAAAATGATTAATTTTGTAACCCATACCTATGTCATGTCTGCTCATACCTTTTATAACATGGGTTAGATATATGCTGTACAATCTTAGAATGTAATGTAGTGGCATTATCATCTTCTATTCTGGCTAGCCTGGCCAAAATTGCCAAAAAGTTCTGACAGTTTTATGATTTGTTATCAACCAGTTCTGGATTGAACCTGCCCATACTTCTTTCACAGAGGACTTTATTCAGCAGAAGGAGGCAGCCAGGCTAGGTTTGAAACTCTGTACCAGCTAATTACTTTTCATCCCTTTTATAAGTATCAGTATTCCTCTTTTTCCATTTTAACTTTTCCACCTTCCTTGTCTCATTTCCTGGACAAATTATTGGTGGGAATTCGGGTAGCTAACCTGGTCATACGATTCTGCCAAATGTATTGCCAAATCTGTAGTGCACACTTCTCCACAGCCCAAAATATATTTCAGGTTTCATTTCCCAGGTCAAAGCTACATTTAGGTTGTTTTTTATGTTTGACAGTTGTTTACCAGCATATTCCATCAAACAACAAAAATGACTGTTCAATATGATCTCTCCCATGTGGTATCTGGTTTCTCAGAATCTTCCAAAAGAAGCCTCAGTGAGCAACAAAATAGGATCTTGCATTTGTAGATGCCTGTTTTCAAGCATTTGGAGAAATCTGAGGATTAACTCCCTGAGACAGATTGTGGGCTCACCCACAAGGAATTAGATTCTTGCGAACAAAGTTATGTCTTGCATTCATCATAAAATGTTCATTACAAAATTGTAGGCTGGAGTCCAGCACATATGCTGCAATCATGCAGCATAATTATAGTTCTTTCCACTAATCTGTCAAGAGTAAATTAGGTTGTTTTTCTTCCGTTTTTCTTGTTTCAAATGCATAAGTAATTTTTTTTCTTCCACTCTTACATTTCCATTTTGGTTCCTTTCTGCTAATTTCTTGCCAGTACTGTTTTTGTTATGTAAGCGTGATAAGCAATACAGAACTAAGATGGGTTGATGGAGGCAAGATGCACATCACTCTTTGAATTAAGAAACAAGATGGAGGGATTGAGTGGCCTCTTCCTATTCCTATCGTCCTCCTCAAGCATCTCCTTCCTTCCTTCACAATGTGCAACAAACTAGACAAACCATTGCTGTTACTTCATATTGCTATTTGTGGAAGGGAGGAGGAAAGTACTTATATTTAATTTGTATTCAATTCTGATAACTTTTCTAAGGTAACCAGCTCGCCAGTGTGCATGGATATGAATGGTCTCGCCATTCCCACAGAATTCCTGTCTAGGCACAATTCAGATGGACTGTTTACATTCGTGGATCATAGATGCATCACTGTTATTGGCTATCAGCCACAGGTTAGTTCCTTGCTCATCTGTTTACAGGCTTGTTTGAGGATCTCCTTATTGGTTGAAGGACTTTTCATGTTAGTGCAGTACCTGAAATTTAGCTTGATTTCAGTTACATTTTACACAAATATAATGCATCATGAGGACCTCATGAACAGATTTCAGTTAATAACCAGATCCAGTGAAAAGTCATGGCTCTGGAGAAATTACACACTGAAATTTCAATAAAAGTCAGGTATCTATAATGATTTCAGTACTTTTTGGATTAACTGAGTAATAAATCACTATACTGCTTTGAGCTTTAGACAACTTGTGTCATGTCCAGGGAGTTAGTGCAAACAAATGTCAATGAACCAGATGCAGATAACAGCCATGTCTTTCTGTCAGGGAAATGGCTGTTGGGTTAAACTGAAAATCATTTACCAGCTTGTCTACTCCAAAAAGTGAGCAAAAGTGAACCCCAGTTAACGCACAACCTTTGAATACAATTAAACATCTAGTTAAATACCGTCAATAAGAATAAAACCACTTGCAATCTTGGCTTACCTCTGAGACAAATAATCTAATTCTGTCTACTTAAACACTTTTTATTAATTTTCTCTTGTTAGGAGCTACTGGGAAAGGATATTGTCGAGTATTGCCATCCCGAAGATCAAAGCCACGTGCGAGACAGTTTTCAGCAGGTATTTATAGCATCAAGTGACAAAGCAGTAGGCTCTGATAACTTGCATGCCGTTTTTTTTAATGAATTTTCCATGCTCATCTTAATTCTTTAAACACAAACAGTCTTGACTTGATGATATGAAGTCCTGAGCTATTTACTATTTTCCATTTAAAGGGTGACTTCATAATTACAAATATTCTACTTTATTCCAGTAACACCTGTAAATCAGGAAGTGAAAAGGAGAGAGGAACTTGGTGAAATTACAATCATGAGGAAAGCAGTTACAAGCAAACTGATGGAGCTACGGACTGATAAGTTACTGAGTCCGATGGGCTATATCTTGGGCTCTTAAAAGAGATGGCTGATGAGCTGTTAAATGTGTTGTTTAATTATCGAAAATTCCCTCAATTTAGGAAATGCTTCATCAGACTGGATGGTAGCAAATATAATCCTATTCAAAAAGGCAAGGAGGCAGGAAACTATAAACCAATTAGTTGGAAAGGTATTAGAATCCATCATTAGAGATTATTGCTGCATGTATGGAAAACCTCAGGGGAAATAGCATCAGTATGGTTTTGTCAAGGGGAATTCATGTTTTACCAATTTACTGGAGTTCTTTTTGAAGGAGTTATACATATTATAAAGGGGGGCTTATGGATCTATTCTACTTGGATTTTCAGAAGACATTTGATAAGACGCCACATTAAAGGTTTTTGTAGAAAATTGGAGCTCATGGTACAGGCGTAGCATAGATAGAGATTAGCAGTTTGGCAGGTAGAAAACAGAGTATACCTAAATGGTTCTTCATCTGATTGGCAGGATGTGACACATGGAATCTTGCAAGAGTATGTGTTGGGCCCCAACTTACAGTTTGCATCGATTCCTTAGATGAGGGGAGTGAAGGTCTGATATCTAAATTCACAGACAACATCAAATAGATAGGAAAATATGTTACGAAGAAGGCATAAGGAAGTTGCAGATGGATAAAGATAGGTTGACTGAGTGAGCAAAAATCTGGCAGGTGGAGCATAATGTATGAAAATGTGAAGTAGTTCATTTTTGAAGGAAGAGTGAAAGAGCAGAGTATCATTTAAACAGAGAGCAACTATAGAATTCCAACTTGCGGAGCGATTTAAGTGTTCTGTTGTATGAATGCAGATTTAGTATGTAATCAAATAGGCTAATGGGATGCTGTCCTTTACTAAGAGAGGAATTAAAATCAAAACCTAAGGATGTTATGGTTCAGTTATACAGGAAATTAATGAGACCACTTCATAAATACTGTGTATAATTTTGGTCTCCTCATTTAAGGAAGAATTTAAATTGATTGGAAGTGGTTCAGAGGTGCATTATTAGATTGATACTAGGAATGAGCAGGTTGACTTATGAGGATAGGTTCATTGGCTAGACTTGCTTTCATAGGAATTTAGAAGAGTTAGGGGTGACTTGATTGAAGTGTGCAAGGTCCTGAATGATCTTGACAAGGTGGATGTGGAATAATGTCTCCTGTTGTGTGCCAGAACTAAGAGTGCTGTTCTAAAGTTCTTTCAAAACAGAGATGAAGAGAACTTTGTACTTTGAGGTTGCACGATTTTGAAGTCTCTCCAGAAGAAGCAGTGGAGTCTTTGAATATTTTAAGACAGAGGTGGACAGGTTCTAATGAGGAGTCAACAAGACTTGAAATGTTAGCTTGCTTTCTGTCCATGAATGCTGTCTGACTTGCTGTGATCTCCAGCATTTTTTGTTTTCAGTGGATAGATTCTTGGTAGCCAGGGGAATCAAGAGTTGGTGTGAATGTGAAACTTGAAACACGAGCAGATCAGCCCTGATCTTACTGAATGGAGCCGCAGGATCGTGGGGCTGAATGGTCTAATTCTGCTCCTGTTAGTATGTTCGTATATGAGCAACATAAGTATGCACATAAATATGCACCCTAATGCACATTTTGTGTAAAGAATTCCATGAGAAATTAGATTTTGAAATAACTTATTTTGATTGTACAAAATAAAATATGAATATTTCAACCAAAGATCCACCACTAGCCACTTGCATCTCAAATTGACTTGTAGCATGTAAACAAATTAACGTTAATCTCCAATTAATGAAAAGTTATTTATGTCCAACATCCAGGACAGAGGAAAATCTCTGTTATTGCAGAATGTAAGATTTCTAAAAGGTATACAATTCATTGCCTTTCTAAGCCTCATTAATAGTTGGATTGGGTTGATGTCGCTAAACCATGTGAGAAAGGAAGCTACCTGAAGCTTCTTCAAAGCTACTTTGTGCATCCTACCAATAATAAAGAACACGGGGAAGAATTAAGTACCAGCATTATCACTGAGGAAGTAGTAATAGATAAACTAATGGAGATAGAGACACATTGATCCCCTGGTTCTGATGGCTTGGCATCCTAGGATCCTAAGAGAAGTACTTAGGAATAGTGGATGTGTTGGTTGGGATTTTCCAAAAATCCTCAGATTCTGGAGAATTGGTAAACTGCCATTGTGATACCTCAGTTCAAAAGGGACAGAGGCAAAAAGCAGATAGCTATAGGCTGATAAGCCTAAAATCTTTTGTTGGACGAATGTTAGAATTAATTATTAGGGAAGTAATAATAGCACATTTGAAAAATCATTACTCAAATCAAGTAGAGTCAACATGGCTTCATGAAAGGGACATAATGTCTGATAAATTTACTACAGTTGCTTAAGAAATTCTCAACCAGAGTGGATAGAGAGGAACCGGTAAATGTGTTACATTTGTATTCCCAGAAGGCATTTGACAAGGTACTTTACTAAAGGTGCAGTCATAAGTCACTGTGTTGGAGGTGGTATATTGGCATGGATAGAGAATTTACTAATGGACAGGAAACAGCAAGTGGTGATAAAGGGTTCTTTTTCAGGTTGGCAACCTGTAACCAATCGGGTTCCACAGGGATCAGTGATGGCACCACAACTATTTACAATATGTGAAGGAAGCCAATGTGACATAGCCACATACACAGATGATACCAAAACAGGTGTGAAGGGGATACCAACAGTTTAGAGAGAGATATCGATAGGTTATATACATGTGAAAAATTTCACAAATTGAATATAATGTGGAATAATGTGAAGTTGTTTATTTTGGAAGGAAGAACAAAAGAGTCATTTAAATGAAGAAAAACTACAGAAAGCTGCAACATAAAGGGACTTGGGGACACTTGTTCACGAAATATAGAAAGCTGGACACATGCAACAGGTAATCAGGAAGGCTAATGGAATGTTGGCCCTTCTTTCAAGGGGCTTGGAGTATAAGAGTGGGGAAGCCTTAGTGCAACTGTACAAGATGCTGGTAAGACTAGTTCTGGTGTACTGTGAGCGGTTTTGCTCCCATTATTTAAGTGAAGAAATTTCACTGGAGTCAGTTCAGAGAAGGTACAATAGGATGATCACTTGTAAGGAGGGATTGTTTTAATGAGTGAAGGCTAAACAGGTTTGGTCTGTACTCTCTGGAGTTTAGAAGAATAAGAAGTGGTCTCATTGAAGCATAAAGCATTCTTAAGGGGCTTTACAGGGTAAATACTGAGAGGTGTTTCCCGTTATGGGCAAGCTTAAGACCAGAGGGGATCGTCTCAGAATAAAGGGGTGCCAATTTAAGACTGAGGTGAGGAGGAATTTCTTTTCAGAGGGTTGAGAATTTTTGGAACACCTTGCCACATACAGCAATGGGGCAGAGTCCTTGTGTGTATTTTAGACTGAGATAGATCCTTGATCAATAGGGGAACCAAGAGTTATGGAAAAGGCAGGAAATTGGATGTAAGGAATGTCAGATCAGCCATGATCCTGTTCAGTAGCAGAGCAGGTTTGAGGGCCTGAATGGGCGACACCTGTTCCTATTTTCTTATGGTCTTGAACCTCTTGTTTGAAAAAAAAGAATGTTGATGGATTTTTTAATGGTTAAAATAACAGACAAAATTCAAAATTTCCTGCTCCTTACCTCCAACTGTTCCTGTTCGCTAATGCTTTCATTGACGAGTGTTGTTGGGCTTTTCAGCCAAGGTGGGATAACATGATCCTGTCACCACCATCTCTCTGTATGTGTATGTTTGCTGTAGGAGTTCTGGACAGTGATCAGAAGCAGATACACTAGGCTATTATCTGTTAACCAGTAAGTACAAGATTAATTGCCTCAGCCAACTCAACATTGGTTAGAATTTGAACAACTCTGTCCTGTGCGAGTCAGTTGCTCGTCATATGAGGAACGGTTGATCTGCTTCATGCATCAGGATGGCAACACAATAGAACAAGAAGCATTACCATTTTCCTCCTTTTGGTAATTTTTTTTGTTTCATAAAAGATCAACAAAGATAATTCAAGTGGAAAGTTGCCTGTTGTTTCCAAATTCCACTAATTAGCATATGGATGATATCTCCGAATTGAACAGGGAAGTTTTATTTTCCTGTCCTGTTTAGCTTCCTTTTGACAATCACATCTCTGCATGTGATGGTAGCAAACGCAAGGCTTCAAAGATAAGATATGGTGTTGTAGCTTCAGTGAAATTGCTATCTGCGTTAAATCTTATGGTAAGCGGAATGTAATCAGATTTCATTGCCGTTTCCCACAAATAACACGTCAAAATTAATGCACTATATATATATTATCCATTTAATTATTTAACTTATCCATGAAATGTTTTTGAGTACATGCATACCTCTATACTTTAATGCCTACAATTAGAAAATCTTGCAATAGTTCACTACCACCATTCTGTAATGAAATGCTCAAATTGCTTATGACTTAAAAATAATCATAGAATCCCTACAGCCTGGAAGCAGGCCATTCAGCCCATCAAGTCCACACCAACCCTCTGAACAGCACCTCCCACCCAGACCCAGCCTCCTACCCTACTCCTGTAACCCTGCATTTCCCATGGCTAGCCCACCCAGCCTGCACATCCCTGGACATTATGGGTAATTTAGCACGGCCTATCTGCCTAACTTGCACATCTTTGCAGTGTGGGAGGAAACTGGAGCACCCG